ACACAAAACCTCCCAGGAAGAAATAGAAGATCTGAATAGACCTGTAACTACGAGGGAGATTGAATCAGTAATCAAATAAAAGCCCTCATGGTTTCCCTTGTCAGTTTTATCAAACGTTTAAAGAACTAATGCCAGTCTTTCTCAAACTTTTCCCAAAAATTAAAGAGGGAGCACTTCCTAACTCATTCTCTGAGGCCAGCATTACCCTGATACCAAAGCAAGGCAAAGATACTACAAGAAAAAAAAACTAGACAAAAAACTACTACAATATCCTTTAAGGACATTGATGTAAAAATCCTCAACAAAATACTAGCAAACTGAGTTCAGACTATATATTAAAAAGATTATACCCCATGATCAAGTGGGATTTACTCCTGGACTACAAGGATTGTTCAACATACAAAAATCAGTCTACCGTGTAATACACTGCATTAACAAAATGAAGGAGGGAAACCACATGATTATCTGAATTGATGCAGAAAAAGCATCTGGCAAAATTTAATACCATTTCATGATAAAAACACTCAGCAAACTAGGAGTAGAGGGGAACTGCCTCAACATAGTAAAAGCTGTTTATGAAGAACCTGCAACAAACATCATACTCAATGGTGAAAGATTGAAAGTGTTTCCTCTAACATCAGAAACATGGCAAGGATGTCTGCTTCTACCACTTCTATTCAAGATAGTACTGGAAGTTCAAGCCAGAGCAGTTAGGCAAGAATGAGAAATAATAAGCGTCCAAATTGGAAAGGAAGAAGTAAAATTATATCTGTTCACAGATGGTATGATCTTAAATGTAGAAAATCCTAAGGATTCCACAAGAAAACCTTTTAGAACTAATAAATGAATTCAGCAAATTGGGAGGATACAAAAGTCAACAAAAAATCAGTTGCATTTCTCTACATTAACCACAATCTGAAAAGGAAATTTAGAAAATTCCATTTATAATAGCCTCAAAAAGAATTAAATATTCAGAAATTAACCAAGTTGGTGAAAGACCGGTATAATAAAAACTACAAAACCTTACTGAGAGAAACTAAAGACATAAGTAAGTAGAAACACATCCCATGTTCGTTGGTTGGTAAACTTTATATTGTTAATATGTCAATACTGTGCACTGTTGGTGGGAATGTAAATTGGTGCAGCCGCTATGGACAACAGTATGGAGGTTCCTCAAAAATTTAAAAATAGGACTGCTGTATCATTCAGCAATTCCACTTCTGGGTATTTATACAAAGAAAATGAAAACTCTAATTGGAAAAGATATGTGCACCCCCCTGTTTATTGTGGCATTGTAAATAATGTTTCCAACACATGGAAACAACCTAAATGTCCATCGATGGATGAATGGATAAAGAAAATGTGGCTTGTGTGCATGCACACACACACACAGTGGAATGTTATTCAGCCATAAAAAAAATGAAATCTTGCCATTTGTGACAACATGGGATGGACCTGAGGGTACTATGCTGAGTGAAATAAGTCGGAAAAAGATAAATACCAAATGATCTAATTTATATGTGGACTCTAAAACAAAAACCAAGCTCACAGAAAATAGATTGGTGGTTGCTCAAGGAGCGGGGTGGTGGGTGAAATGGGTGAGGGGGGTCAAAAGTTACAAATTTCCAGTTGTAAAAGGAATAAGTCATGGGAATGTAACGTAAAGCATGGTAACTGTAGTTAATCATACTGTATTGTATATTTTGAAAGTAGCTAGAAGAGTGGATCTTGAAAGTTATCACAGAAAGAGTTCTCATCACAAGAAAAAAAATTTGTAACTGTGGATAGTGACAGATGTTAACTAGACTTACTGTGGCGATCATTTTGCAATATATACAAATATTGAATCATTATGTTGTATACGTGGAACTAATATAGTGTTATGTCAGTTATACCTCAATTTTAAAAAGAAGTACTACCCAAAGCCCACATGCAAAGGAATGAAATCGGATCCTTATCTAACACCATATACAAAAATTAACTGAATGGATTGAGGCTTAAATGTAAGACCTAAAACTATAAAAGTCTTAGAAGAAAACATAGGGCAAAAGCTTCACAACATTGGATTTGGCAGTGATTTCTTGTATATGACACCTAAAGGCACAGACAACAAAAGAAAAAGATAGGTAAATTGGACTTCATGAAAATTTAAAAATTTTGTGCATCAAAAGATACTATCAACAGAGTAAAGGCAACCCACACAATGGGAGAAATATTTGCTAGTCATGTATCTGATATAGAGTTAATATCAAAAATAATAGAGAACTTCTGAAATTGAGCAACAAAAAGCAAACAACCCAATTTAAAAAAATGGGTAAAGGACTTAAACAGATTATTTCCCCAAAGATGATGTACAAATGGCCAATAAGTAAATGAAAAGATGCTCAGCGTTGCTAATCATCAGGGAAGTGCAAATCAGAACTATAATAGAGATACCACTTCACACCCATTAGGATGGCTACTAACAAAAAGACAGAAAATAACAAATGTTGGAGAGGATGTGGAGAAGTTGGAACCTTCTGCACTGTTGGTGGGAATGTAAAATTGTGCAGCTACTGTGGAAAACAATATGGTAGTTCCTCAAAAAATTAAAATCAAAATTACCTTATGATCTAGCAGTTCCACTCTGGGTATACACAAGAGAATTGAAAACAGGATCTCGAAGAGAGATTTCTACACCTGTGTTTATAGCAGAATTAGTCACAATAGCTAAAACTTGGAAGCAACCTGACAGATATGTGGATACACATACAATGGAATATAATTCAGCCTTTAAAAGGAAGGGAATCCTGACCTATGCTACAACATTGATGAACCTTGAGGACATTATGCTAAATGAAATAAGCTAGTTACAAAAAGACATACTATGTGATTCCACTTATATAAGGTAGGCAGAGTAATCAAAATCAGAGACAGTGGGTAGACTTATGGTTGCCAGGGGCTGGAGAGGGTAGCGAATGGGGGAGTACTGTTCAAAGGCTATGGAGTTTCAGTTTCACAAGATGAAGAGAGTTATGGAGATGGATATTGGTGATGGTTGTACAACATTATGAATGTATTTAATACCACTGAACTGAACACTTAAAAATGGTTAACATGCTAAATTTTGTGTTGTGTATTTTACCACAATTTAAAAAAAAAGACTTAGGCAAACTATCCCCTAACAAAGGAGGATCCATGAGTGTCTCTGAGACATGGAACACGCTGGCCTGATTCCTGCGCTTCCATCAGCAGGCCTTTTTCCTATCACCTGGTAAGCTCCGTGGTAACGTCCTCTTCTCTTCAGACCAGTGGCTTCCCAGGTTGAAATCATGGGTGGAAAGCAACCTGGCTATAGAAATCCATCTCTGTGAGAGTACCCTCTCTGCTTCCAAACGCCCTGTTCTGTTGAAACAATGCCCAGATCAAAATTGTCTCGTGATGAAATGAATGAATGACTGATTAAAGAGCTATTGAGGGAGGTGTCAGGGAAAACTGTTTAGTAGCTGTGTATTTGAGAGTGTACTTGTATATAAAATAATAGCAATTTTGAACTGTGGGACGTTCCTATAAAAGCTGTCTCTTTTGATCTTAAAAAACGTGTCCAGTAGCTGTTGTATGAAAAAAGAGAATTCTGTATACCCAGCAGTTAGTGTTGTTGCAGTTTTTTTAATTACAGAAGATTTCTAAGAAATTTTTCTGAAGTTTCTTGTTAGGTTTATGATGGTCCTCCTAATAGCCATAGCTGTTAAACGAGAGAAAAGAAAGAAAATAGATTTGGAAAGCACAGGATCACTCTCTGTTCAAAATTACTGTCTGAGGTTTAGCTGTCTAGACCCAGGAACCAAAAAGAAAATGCAAATTAAATCAACAAAAGACTAGGAAACATTAATGACAGTACTGGGTTTTGGTGAGGATGTTGGAAAACCTATGGGGAATATCATTTGACACATTGTATTAGTTATCTGTTGCTGCATAACAAATTACCCCAAAAGTTAATGGCTTAAAACAATAAACATTTCCTCGGGGGTCCGGAATCCTGGCACAGCATGGCTAAAGAATGTGACTCAGTTCTCCCTTGACGCCATTGTGGGCTGCAGTCAATGCAAGATTCTTTGGGGGAGGATCTATTTCCAAGCTCACTTTCATGGCTCTTGGTGGGCCTTAGGTCCTTGCTGACTCTTGGCTGGAGACATCAGTTCCTTGCCATGTGGGCTTCTCCATGGGGTGGCTCACAACATGGTAGCTGTCTTCTCTCAGAGGGAGTGAGAGAGGGTGAGAAGTTGACAAGATGGAAGTTATGGTTTTAGTTATAATGATTACCTATTAGATAGGAAGAGAATGTTAAATGAAGCAAATGGGGCAGAAAGTTAATTTGTTAAATCTAAATGGTGACTGCAGGGGTGTCTAATATGATAGTTTCAACTTTTCTGTATGTTTTAAGGATCCCATATATACATATTTATAGAATCCCAGCTTAGAAAAATTAGAAATAACTTAATTTTTTCAATACTTTAATATAGAAAAGTTCAAGCATAGACAAAAACAGAGAATGATATGATGAATCCCCATAACTCAGCTTCAACAGTTATCGGCACATTATCAGTCTTCTTTATAGTTTCATCTGTATTCCCCTACTCTGTCAAGGATTGTCTTGAATATATATTATATCATTTCATCAGTAAAAAACACTTGAGTGTATTTTTAAATGAACATGCTTTTAAAAATAGATAACTATGCCAGCACTATCTTTTAAAAAACTGACATTGATTCCTTAATACCATCCAATATCCAGATATTGTATGCTCATATTATTAGTGGTCAAATTATTTAGTGGTCATAATTCCTCCATTGTTTCATAAATGGAAAACAAGTTATCTCTAATTCATAATAGAATTTCTGTCTTTTTTCCTCATTAGAGCATCTCCTGCTTTCTAGAGGAATTTTGCAACTAACAGTCCAGAGCCAAAAGAGACCAGTGTCAGCAGGGTACTAACCTTTCTCTGTGCTCTCTCCCCCAGATACAGTTGGTCCCACCTGGACAGATCCAGATCCAGGGTGGGCAGGCTGTGCAGGTGCAGGGCCAGCAGGGCCAGACCCAGCAGATCATCATCCAGCAGCCCCAGACAGCTGTCACCGCTGGCCAGACCCAGGTAACCCACTACCTCTGTCCACACACACACACACACACAACACAACACAACACAACTGACTTGGAAGGGTCGGACAGCTGAGCCAAATATTTCACATGTGGTAGAAATGGGGAAGAAAGCCATGAAAAATGTTTTTTTTTTAAAAAAACCTACATGGTCTTGTTCTTTGTGGTGTCTTTGGAATCTGTTAAGTTTTTTTGTCATGATATATTTCCTGCAGACACAGCAGCAGATTGCTGTTCAGGGGCAGCAAGTGGCACAGACTGCTGAAGGGCAGACCATTGTCTATCAGCCAGTTAATGCAGACGGGACCATTCTCCAGCAAGGTAAGTGTGCCCGTTCGTTTCTGTGGGACTTGGGGGCATCTTTTTCATCTCTTGGGCAAATGACTGCTTTAGAAATTTTGCAGTCACCTCTATATGACATATTTTTGAACAACAAAAAAGATTTCTTCTAAGTCTTCGTTGATGGTTCCTTGTCACCAGTACATGATCAACTTTGATTCTATCTGTAGGAGTTCCTACTGTGGTGGTTAAAAGACTAGTGCTAGGGATTATAAAGATTTTAATCCTTTCTGGGAAGAAATGTTTCTAAATAGAAGATTGGAAATATGGGAGTGAGTTTATTGCTAAAAGGAGAAATAGATCAGAAGTCAAGTTGGCATTTGGAGTGTTGTTGCTGCTTATGTTTTTTTCCTGAGCCACTTCATTATTTATTATCACTATCATCATAAAAAGACTTATTACATGCCTACTATGTATGTAGCAGTTTGCTAAGAAAGAAGTGTTTTCTTCTCAGAGAGCCTCTGGTATAACAAGGGAGACACGTGTGAACAAATAAATACAGTGCAGACCCCTTATAGAGGTATGTTCTAGGAATAGATCTCGCATAAACAAGGGAGAGAGGAGATCTGTTTAGCTTGGGCGGAGAATGGACTTCAGAGAGGAGGAGATGGCTCAAACTGAACTTGAGAGCTTTTGCAAGCATTTGTCAGTTAAATCTAGAAAGGACATCTCAGTTAGTTTCCCTGACTAAAGTTTTGGCTTGTGGTGAAAATTCAGCAGTATACACGATGCGGTGAGTGCAGTAACTATGCTCTCACATGACTCAGGAGAGGGCCTGAAGTGGATTGAGCCCTGGCAGGAGCTCAAACAGAGAGCGGTAAACAAAGCCTCAAGTGCTGCTGTTGATAGTTTGGGGACTCGGGATGCTTGATTTAGTTTTAAGTTTTAGTCCTGAAGCTGGCTGACTCATTGTCAGTTTGGGATAAACAAATTATAAGTTTATAAAGTCTCCATCCCGAAGCAGGGTGTTCATAGGTAGAGGAACAGTGGGTATAGTCATAGTCAGACTGATCCATAGAAGGGGAGGACTCCGAATTTTCTCACCACCCGTTGAAAACTGTCACTGGATTGCCGAGGGAAGTCCATTTCAAGGATAGATTTATTCAGAACTGGAACCCGGACAGTGAATGGAATTTCAAAGATTGTGATTACTTGAATTATATGCAGCAAACCAGACAGAGAGTGGGAGAGTGCTTTTTCTCCCCTTGTGCTGTTTAGTATGTTTTTCCAGGGTGAATGAGTGTGTGCCCGATGGAAGAGGGACTAACTGTGTTCCCTTCTTTCTGTATACCTGTGTTTTGTTTGTTTTATATTTTATTTTCTTAAAGTTACAGTCCCTGTTTCAGGCATGATCACCATCCCAGCAGCCAGTTTGGCAGGAGCACAGATTGTTCAGACAGGAGCCAACACCAACACAACCAGCAGTGGGCAAGGGACTGTCACTGTGACACTACCAGTGGCAGGCAATGTGGTCAATTCAGGAGGGATGGTCATGGTAAGAAAATTGATTCTTCACTTCAGTGTTCTTATCTGTAATTTATTTTTCCATATATCTCTTTGTCTTTGAAAATTTCTTAAACTTGCAATTTGATATCTCTCATTATAAATAGTGACTTCATGGGATTGAGATTGATCCTTAGGGCACTGACAGAGATCTACTTTTACAATAAACATTACAACGAACCATAGTTCATTCTAAGCACCTACTATGTGCCAGGGACTATTCTAGGTGCTGGAGATACAGCAGAGGATAAACAGACATAAATATGTGCTTTTACGTGATCTTACTTAGAATTCAAATAACAAAGGGAGGGATAGACTAATCTTTGGGAAATGGAAAATATGTTACCCACAGTGAATGAAAGAAAAAATAAGCTAAAAATCAGAAAGATTGTAATCAATAGAGAAACGAAAAAATGTGTGATATAAATATGTAGGGATGATAGGGAAGGAGAGTTGAGTGGTGTGAGTGAAAGTCAAAATTGGATGTCCGTATACAGTACCTAAGATGGATGAAGGAAGAATGAGTAGTAGAAGCTTCTGCAGAGGTGGAGGAAGCTCCCAAAAGAAACAACATAGCCGTTCATAGTTGTTAGAGTTGGGAAGGGAGAGGGGCACAGGAACCTGTTGTTTCCTTGTACATTTAGTACCGCGCTTTGTTTTTGTTTGTTTAGAAAAATTAGGATTGAATTATATAGTAAGTTAACTATTTGATTAAATTATTTGTGCGACTATAGGCATTTGGAATCACTTGGTCAATCTGTACCTATCTCTGTACTGTTTTACTGTCTTATGATTACTGTTCCTGACCATTAGATGGCAGCAGACATTCCTAGAAAATGGAGCTGTGGCTGGACAAGAATTTGGACATGGTTGTGTCGTTTCTCAGAGTGGCTTCTGGGACCCCTATGACATAATCATCTGGAATGTTTGTTTGAAATGCACACCTACAGTGTAAATTAACTAAATGCCCTGTAAAAGTTAACTCTTTGTAGCATTCAAAATAAAATAGATTAACAGGGACCAAGAAACTGTTTCCTATGTCAGACTTCATTGCCACTATTTCATATTTCATATGCTCTGATGTTCTCTTCACACAGATGGTGCCTGGTGCTGGGTCTGTGCCAGCTATCCAAAGAATCCCTCTGCCTGGGGCAGAGATGCTTGAAGAAGAGCCTCTCTATGTGAATGCCAAGCAGTACCACCGCATACTTAAGAGGAGACAAGCCCGGGCTAAACTAGAGGCAGAAGGGAAAATTCCAAAGGAAAGAAGGGTGTGTATAAACACAGCGGGAAGGATATAGGAAGAGAAGGGCAGGGTTCTGCTTTTGAAGTTACTTTTTATTTATATGGTTTGTTTCCTTAAGTACCTTGCAAAGAATTGAAGTTATATAGCTGCTAATCTTTTGTAAAAGTAAGCATTTGTTATTGCTATATGCAGCTGCAACTACACTAACAAAAAAATAACAGTGGCTTAAATAAGATTTCCTTTTTCTCTTTTTTTTTTTTTTTTTTTTACATAAAAGGAATTCAGAGATTATTTGGCCTGGGCTAGTAGCACATTTCCACAATCCTCAGCACTCATTCTCCTCCTGTCTTACTATTGTAATTTTCTTCGAATGCTATTATAGTCCATATGGCTGCTTGAGCTCCAGCGTAGAAACAAAGGGAACCTCTGCTTTAACGAAACTTTCAAGAGGTTCCAAACACCTCGTTAGCTAAAATTGAATTATGTGGCCACACTTAACCTGGAAATAAGGCTAGGAAGTGCATTTTATTTACAGAACAACCATTTAGCCAACTAAAATTTCGTCTGTTATTAAAGGGAAGGAGAGGCTGTATATTGAGAGGTAGGTAGTGATCTCTGCTATACCTTCAGGGAATCTTTTTTTATTTATTATTCATTTAGCATTCACATTCTTATGATTAGCTGCTATCTAGTGTTTTCTCCATAACTCAAGGTCATAATTACCCCTGGTGGCTTTGATCACAGTTTTCCCAAACTTGTGAGGATGGAATTTGTGCATTAGATAACTGTCTAGTTACCTAGTAGTTTTATTTCTCTTCTTTTAGAAATACCTGCATGAGTCTCGGCACCGTCATGCCATGGCACGGAAGCGTGGTGAAGGTGGACGATTTTTCTCTCCAAAGGAGAAGGATAGTCCCCACATGCAGGTGAGAAGACTTGTACCTTTCATTCTTCTCTTTATTGCCTTGTATTTTCTTGGGTGGAAGCCTTCACCTAAGGCTTGCTATTTTCACACTAGGGACCAATCACATTCTCTGAAATGTGTGACATTGTGTCTCTTAGATTCCCTTTCATCTTACAAGCACTAAAGGTCTTTAATACAGTGGCCGTTTTTCTCTTCCTGATGTTTGCCAGTTCATTCCTATTAATTCTTTGAAATTCTCGCTTTTCTTGATCTTCAAAGAACACATTTTATTGTCTCTTAGTATAATATTAGCAGCAGCAGCTAACACTAACTGCTGTGTGCTGGCCATTATGTTAGCACTTTTATAAGCTTTTTTTTTTCATTGAATCTTTACAGCAGCCTCAAGCCCCATGAGTTAAGATTTATTGTTTCCATTTTACAGTTGAATCTGAGGTTTAGAGAGGTTAAGTAGTCTGCCTAAGGTAGAATACTTAATAAAATGGTGCAACTGAAATTCAAACCCAGGCAGTATAATTCCAGAACTTACTCTAACTACTATATTACTGTGGTTCTTAGGACATACAATTCCACTGATTGTATCTTGTCGGCATTTCTGAATCAATATATCCAAAATAAAACTTGGTTTTTATTTTATTTTTTTATACATAGACCATTCATTTATCGCAACAAGTGACATGCCCATCCACCCAGTTATTAAAGCTGGAATTGTTCAATTCCTGAAGAAATCCTCTTGGTTTTACCTCTAAAATATAATCTGAATCAGTTTACATTTTTCCCTCCCAACTGCTGTCAGCCTGGTCTAATCCTCTCTTCTTTTGCTTCACTTAATCTAACAGCTGTCTACTGGTCTCCCTTCTTTCATTCTTGTGCCCCTCTCATCCATTCCCCACATCTTTGTGTAATCTTTTAAAAATGTATATCATGGCATATCACCATCCTGCTTTAACCCCTTCCACCCGCACCCTTTCTCATTTGCACTTAGACTAAAATCCAAATTGTTTACCATGGCCAGCAAGGTTCCACATGGTCTAGCTCCTGTCACCCTCTTGTTTCATTTCCTCCTCCTTGGTCTTTATGCTCTTGCTATACTGTTCATTGGTTTGTCTTCTGCCATAGGACCTTTGTCTTTAAAATAGCCAATCTGTAAAGCTTTTCACTCCATCTTTTTTGCGTAGCTATCTCCTTATCTTTTAGGTCTTGGTTTAAATCTGAGAAGCCGGATCTAGAGTAGGTCTCTTCTACCCCATTATTTTCTCCCATCTTCCTTTTCTTTTGAGTGCAATAATAATTGAATTGTTTTATTTGTGTAATTGTGCAGTATTTCTCTCCTTCACTAGACCCTAAGCTTTGTAGACAGTAGAGGATTGTTTTGTTTTCCATTGTATTTATTGGACTTAATGTAATGCCAGTCCAGAGCAAGCACTCGGTAAATGTTTGTTGAATTAATGTATTCCTTCCATTTACTGGTAGTTTATTCTGTGTGACCATTACATTCCACCTGAACTGTTGCCAAGTCGATCTTTATGAGATAATGCTTTTTTTGGAGGAAGATTAGCCCTGAGTTAACATCCACCGCCAGTCCTCCTCTTTTTGCTGAGGAAGTTTGGCCCTGAGCCAATATCCGTGTCCATCTTCCTCTACTTTATATGTGGGATGCCTGCCACAGCATGGCCCAATAGTGGTGCATAGGTCCACACCCGGGGATCTGAACACGTGAAGCCTGGGTTGCCGAAGCAGAGCGCATGAGCTTAACTGCTGTGCCACCAGACCAGCCCCTATAATGCTTTTTCAATCACATCAGTCCCCTGCTCAAAGAGGCGTGCTAGTTCCTCATCTCTTACTGTCTAAGCACCTTTGCCTCATCACGCGTCTCAACAGTCAGAGTAGATTTCCTCACACGTGAGCACTAACTCCTCCTTTAATGCTATTCCTCCTTGTAGTCTGAGAACCCTTCCTTTCTCATTATTCTCATATTCCTCATTATCCATGCAGTGTATAGATGTAGAGTGCCATCTATGGGCATTGTGCCAGGAACTCCTAATTCTGTGTGCTAATGATAGCCCTATGTCTAGTTACTTAGCCTCTTTTAGCCTCAGTTTCTTCACTTGTAAAGTGAGGTGCTATTGATACTTCACAGGAATGCTGTAGGGATTTCATGCAGTAAGCCACATTAGGTACCTACTTAGCACAGTACCTAGTACCTAGTGAGAGCTCAGTAAATGCTGGTTATTGTCTTTGCTCATTGATTAAGACCCAGCTCCCAGGGCCGGCCCGGTGGCACAGTGGTTAAGTGCACACGTTCCACTTCAGCAGCCCGGGGTTCGCCAGTTGGGTACGGACATGGCACCACTTGGCAAGCCATGCTGTGGGAGGTGTCCCACATATAAAGTGGAGGAAGATGGGCATGGATGTTAGCTCAGAGCCAGTCTTCCTCAGCAGAAAGAGGAGGATTGGCAGCAGTTAGCTCAGGGCTAATCTTCCTCAAAAAAAAAAAAAAAAGACCCAGCTCCCCTCCTGCCACCTCCAGAAATCTTTCAGCTTTTTCTTTTGGATCACACCATTTGAGGCTTCATGGCCTGGTGTGGAGGCACTGAAGGAGTTTATTGTGGAGTGTTGTAAAAAGCTTCCGAGGACTGATCCTAGTCTTTACTCTGCAGATTTTAAGTGACAGGCAGCAGGGGAGTTTATTGAAAAGATTAAATGGGAGCCAAGAGATTTAGCAGTTAGTCCTTGCTGGGCTCCTGACTAACTTTTTTAACTCTAATCCAGGCAAATCACTTTACCCACTATACTTCAGGTTTCTCTACAAAATGAATGCATTAAAGTAAATAAATTCCAGTGCCCTTTCCAGCCCTGCTAAGTGCTCAGTATTTTAAATATGATCAGAAAATAATACCACACAATATAGCCTGACATAGTTCTCTGGGTCTTTTTCTTAGCCACCTAGGGACCCTTAAACCTTAAGGTAGAGCACATTACAGGTTCTTAGGAGAGAGATACACTGTCAACTGTGGAGTGCCAAGCCAGACTTGGAATCTTTTGACGAATGAGGTTTATTGTCTCTTCTTCCGTAATGGAGCTGCACTTCAATCCTTTTATGCAGACTTTGATGCATTACAGGCCTTTGGTTTACTTAGCAAAGTTGTGTGTATTCCCTTGGTGATAAGTAGTGAGAAGTCCCTGTTGCTTTTGCAAAGGACGTTAATCATTATTATGCTTTCTTTGTCTCTAGGATCCAAACCAAGCAGATGAAGAAGCAATGACACAAATCATCCGAGTGTCCTAACCCCAGGCCATGTGATGGAGCTGATCAAGGTCATGTTCCTCACCACTGTTCCAGGAGATTGATCAACTCTTCCGATGGGACACTGATGATCACATTCTGCCCTTTTCTACAGGACAGAAACCACTTAAGTTTTTAATAAGTGGCTCAGTATTATAATTGCAGCAATGTCTGGCAAACTGAAGTTGCAAGCCTTTGTCTCACCCTTTCAGTCAGGACCTATTTCTGACTGTTGATGACAATGACATTTCATGGATTGGGATGATGCAAGGGAGCGATGCCAGCCTAGCAGTACCACACACAGCACTTATGTTGACTGGTGAAGCCAGCCAGCCATCTCAGCAGGGGAGAACAACCTCCTCGACCTAAACTGCAATCAGGGAAGCCGCAGCCCACTCCTTCCCGAGGAATCTAAGCAGCATCCATCCCTCTGAAGGGAGGTCTCAGGCTGAGGAACTGAATGGACACTTTGTATTCAGAGATGGCTTCCAGGCAAGGAAGTTCCCTCTCACAATATGGAAACAATAAATTCTCTGAGATACTTTCATCTAATCTGTGGTAATGAGAAGAATCTCTGTCTGCCCAGATGATAGGTTGGTATTTTTGGACTCCGGCCAAGAAAAGCTAACCCTGGGGATAGAATGATAAAAGACTCAAGCACTAAAAATTTAAATTGCTCAGTCTTGTTTTTAGCTTGACAAGTTGTGGTCTGCTTGTCCATCTGTTGACAGGTCATCTGGACCATAGTTCTTGCTGTGGCTACTTTTAAGACAATGTAGAGGGTGTTGAACCTTGAAACTGCCTTTCCTGAGTAGAGAACAAAACTATACAACAATTTCTATGCTGAAGTGCTGAGGACATTTGTAGTAACTCCTAAAGAGAGCTAAACTAGAAAGCTTCAGTCATAGGCTTTGTGACAGCATTTGGGCAATAGAAGGGTTCATATGTGTTTCAGTCTAGAAGAAGAGAGAGAGTGACATACATACCCATGTGTTGTCATATAGCATGATTCTCCAGTGGACGGATGCCTGGGATGGATCATTAAGAAAAAGAGAATAATTTACATTTATACTATAACCTTTAAACAAGCATGGAAAGGGAGAAGCCTGAGATTTGGTCCTCGACAATTTCTGGAAAGCACTGTTCATTCACGCTATCTTGGACATATTCCAAGTTACTGGCTAGAAGCTGAGGAGGATGTTGGCTTCATCTTGCAGCGCTTTGTGCTGGCCCCAGAGAGTAAACTTTCTCATTCTTCCCATGGCAGCTGATTCTTTGGTGCCAGTTTCCATTTGTTTCCCCTTTTCTCCACAGGCCTTGTGCAGAAGGCTTTTCACATTGCATCCATGTTCTGGGATAAATTGCAGACTGGAAATAGAGATGCCTGCAGGGTCAGGAACTGGGCCACAGTTCCCAGAATGGGTTGTGCCTCAGAAATCTCTCTCTTTTCTAGATGTTAAACCTGGGAAAACTAAGATGATATTTTGGAGGAGTTGCTGCCTTCTCTGGAAACAAAGAAGGAAAACCTAATTCTTCTGAAGAACATTTGCGTTTCATTTAAATACCAAGAGAAAAGATTGGCTCTTTCTTTGATTTCATTCTAATTGTATTAAGAGGGAAAAGAAATTAAACCTTCTAAAAAAAAACATCACAAAGGGAAATCATTGTAATGTTAGAAATAGAGGGACAGAGCTGTGTAAGGAAGTGAAGTGTCTCCTGAGTCTCTGGAATCTAGTCGTCTGTCTTGGCTTCCAGATGTCAGGAGGGGCTGACTCTTTGATAGGCTCACTAGAAACTTCTGGCTCTTTGCATGAGTTTCAGATATTAGTTTTATTCAGTAAGCCCCAAATTTTTCAGATGATAGATTACTAAAAACAATAAGGAATTTATATCGCTTGTTTCGTTCAGAAGTCTTTAAGATGCAGAGTTCAGAAAGAAATCCTCAGACCTAATTTCTAATACTTAAGCCAACAACAGTTCTAAAATGTTATTTATTTGTGTCTGTAAGTTTGTACATAGTATTACCAACCTCATATTGTTGATTTTTTTTTTATCAGTTTTGAGTTTTGTTTTGTTTGAAATGATATGCTTCAGTTGTCGTTTTGTCATTGCATTTCAGATAGCTTATGGCCCTTTTAGCACACCATAATACACAAAGTGAGTGGTTGAGGTTTGGAATTTTTCTTTATTTTTACCAGTTCTTTTATTCATTTGTCATTGTGACTGTAAGTGATGACTTCACAGATGCAGAAAGAGTGAATGGATGAGTGAATAATTGGTTTAATGCATCGTTTTTTCACTTCTTGAGTGCTTTTTTTTTGCAGGATAATTGTAAATGTATATATTTTAATTGCACTGATACATGGAACATGTCAGTGTCTTATACCACTGGACCAACACAGCATTTTCTGGCTATTGGGTGCCTGATGATAATGTTTTGATTTTCCTTTGGGACTCAACTATGTAGAAGGCTTTTCCCCCAGCAGTAGGGGGAGTACAAAGTGATCGATCATTGATGTCATTGCAATTACTATTTTTTAAAATAAATTTATAAAAACACTAAAAAGTGATTTGGATATTGAGGAGTCTAGAATCCCCTGGGTTCTAGGTTGTGTTTATAATGTTGAAATTGTGATCTCTGTGGACAGTGTCACACTTGCAATGTCCAGGTGTCTCTTTTCCTTCCCTTTTGGCCCTCCCACCCTGCTGAGGAGATCTTTTCTGTCATCTATGGGCTGATCACATATCTGGTCTTACTGGAAGTGTTAATCAGAATGCGATGAAGTAATTCCATGAGTAAAATAGCCCTTTAAACAGCATTAATTTATTAGGTATTGTAGAACTAAAGAATAGTAAAGATGAAATTTTTAGATTTTGTTTTTATTTTTGCAGGAAAACAAAACAAAGATACTTCTCTGTTAAAAATGCACAGCATGCTCATCCTGTTAGTGCTTTGTGTGCTCCACAAATCTGAGCAATAGGCTGGCAGCCTCAAATGGGCCATTATCACACAAAAAGTCAGGGAACCAGAAGCTAAAAGAAAAACAGTCCCGGGGAGCACTCACATGAGGCACTCAGTAAACCTGTCCTGGCATACAATAGAAATAGAAGAAACCCCCTAACAATTAAGGAAAAGGCCTGTTATATAGCTTTAATCTAATGGTGTTAAATTTAAAAGTCATTCTGAGTTTGCTTAAGTCTGATGCCAATGGAACTTGACCTAAGTTTCTACTCCAGTGATATGAGGAAAAGACCACCCTGTTGATATTTATCTCGGATGGTCTGTTTTAAATAGAAGCATCTTCACCTCCATGTTTCAAGGAGATTGAAAACGTCGGCTTTCTCTTCCGAACTCGCTGCCCTGCCCCGCCTTCCGCCCCTCCCCCCTGGAAGCCCGAGCCAGGGCGCAGGCAGTGGGAAGCGGGTGGGGCGGGGCTCGCGGTCCCTTTCGATTGGCGCTCCCCAAGGAGGCCCGCAATGATTGGTTGCTGGGAGGGGCCTTCAAGGGCCGGCGTTGCGGATTGGCTGCTACGCGAGAAACCCTGTTCCCAATAGCTCGGCGGCCAAGCCCGCCGCCGCCATGGCGACCAGCGAGCAGGTGGCGGCGCCGCCTCTGTGGCCCGTAGAGGCCCGGTTGGCGGCGCTGCTTCCCGACTTGCTGGTCTTCAGGAAGCCCAGGGGGTCGGAACCCGAGCTCGCCACGGCCCAGGGCGTCCTCCTCGGTGTCCACGTGACGGGTGAGGGGAGGCGCGTCGCTCTCCGGGCTTGCCTGAGGGCGGCCGTTGGCCTCAGCTCGGGGAGGCGGGGCGGTCGCCGGGCGAGCAAGGCGCGGTGTAACTGTGCGCCGCCGCCGCCGCTCGTCTTCAGAACCGGAGGACGCCTTTCGGCGCGATCCGGCGAGCCCTCCTTGAGGCCGCTTCAGAAATGATGGAAGTGGGACTCAGAAAGGGGAAAGCACTTCTCCTGGGCTGCACGGCGGGCCCTGAACGCAGGCTCCTCCCAGACCGAGCCTTTGCCGTTAGGCATTCTGCCTCGTCCAGTGATTTCATTCTCTCAATGAAGCCGCTCTTTGGGTCTATAATTATGTGTCCGCCATCGTTGTAGGAGTTAGAGGTTTAGCAGCTACTTTGAGAGACGTTAGTTTAACAGCCGTCCGTGTGTCAGGGCTGGGAGATGGGCGACGCAGGGGCCGGTCCTCAGGGTGCTCTCCGTACAGCTGTAACCCGTTCCCCTTGCCAGGGCTTTCTCTGTCCCGATTCCTGTGGTTTCCCTTGGCCAGAGGAGCCGTCAGAGGGTTTGGTGGGGAAGGGGTAGCTGGCTTCAGATGGAGAGGGCGCCTGTGGGTGAATCTTCACCATCTGGAAGCATGGCGAGGGTGGCCCTCCGGATCCCCAGGGGCAGCAGCAGCCAGCCTGGCGCCGCTACTGTCTACCGACTGGAGTGCCCCTTACTGCGAGGAGATGCTTCCAAGACCCCCAGTGGATGCCTGAAACTGCAGATAGCACCAAACCCTATATCTACTATATTTTTTCCTGTACAAACATAGCAGTGATAAAGTTTAACTTATAAATTAGGCACAGTAAGAGATTAGCAATAACTAATAATAAAATAGGACAATTATAACAATATGCTGTAATACCAGTTACCGTAGATGTAGATCTTAACCTCAACGCACGATTTTTTCCTTTCCTTATGTCAGGAACTTTCACCTTTTCACTTGAAGGAAGCGCTTTAGGGCTTCTCTTTGCATATGCAAATTGCCAGCATCACTAATCTTGCACTTTGGGGCCATTATTAAGTAAAATAAGGGTTACTTGAACACAAGCACTGGGATAGCACAACAGTAGATGTGATAACTCAGAGGGCTTCTAAGCGACTAATAGGCGGGTAGCCCATAAGCAAGGAAAGGACGGACAAAGGGATGGTTCACATCCTGGTGGGATGGAGCAGGAAGGCAAATTTCATCAGGCTACTCAGAATGGTGCCCAATTTAAAACATGAATTGTTTATTTCTGGAGTTTTCCACTTAATATTTTTGAACTGCAGTTAAATGTGGGTAACTGAAACCATGGAAAGAAAGGCTATGGATGTGGGGGGACTTCTGTAACAGCATGTTAAAAGATAATGAAATCACTCATCTCAAAGAGGTCTGCTTCCTTTACACTGCCCTGTTGGGTGGAGGGAATAGGACCTAAAAGTTTAGGATTTGCAGCTAACATAGTAATTTTTGCTTTGTTTGTCAGGGTTTACAGCATTGATGGACAGGTTCAGCCTGACCTGCAAGTCGGAACGTGACATGGACAAACTGGCCCACATCTTCAGTTATTACATTAGTGACATCGTGGAGCGTGAGTGACCATTGTAGTGGAGCAAGGAGGTGTAGTGCCGGGCTCCTGAGGGTTTGTAACAGAAGGCGGCCTGGGGTACTTTAAAAGGGTAAATCAAAGGGTCATTCCGTTAGTGGTGCTCATCTTTCATTTCTTCAGGTTGCCGCTGACAAGCTGGATCTTTGCCCGTATCTGCCGTTCTTCTCAGTCTCACATCTCGTAGACTTGGTGTTCAGAAAGGGGGAAAAAAGCTAATTCTAATTCTTACTTTGCGTGTTTGCATTTTATTTTAAAATAAAGAATTCCTCAGGTTGTCTCTTCTAACAATAATGTAATATGCCTCATGTGTATATCAGATATAATTTACAAAACATCTTCCCTTTCTATTAGTGCATTTTGATCCTGTGAGGTGGGAATGAGTGTTTTCTTTATTTTCTGCCAAGTATTAAGTTTGTCGATATTTGCCTAATGTGGAAAAAAACACCCTCCTTATTTGTGCAGTAAACATGTTTTGAGTACCTACTCTGTGACATGCACTGTAATAGGTGCAGGGGGTGCCAAAACCTATTCGTGAGGAGCTTTCAGTCTGGTTAGGCCTACTCAACAGAAATTACTCTGGCCCTATGCCCTTTAGTGCTTGTGTAATATTCCCTTCCTTTACTGGCAGGGCCACATACAGTTAGGTCCATCATTCTGAGATTCACCAGAATAAATACTTTGTGGCATCTCCTTTAGGAATTTGATTATTTGACTCACCTCTTACCCCAGAGGAACAAGTATAAAAGATATTTCAATTTTTCTCAACAAGTTTAGATGAAAAGGGGAGACAGAAATTATGTATTATGTGTGTGTTGTAACATCAGGAACTGATGGGTACTGAAATACAGGGGAAAATAGGACACAGTACCTGCCCTCATGGAGTTTCCATTTTAGTGAGAGAAACAGATAATAAGTAAACAACTAATTATAGATTATAGATTCTGTAAAGGAAATAAATAGGGTGTAATGGTAAAAAAATAATGTAAAGTAGTTTCTGTATTAGATAGGGTGGTCATAGGAGGGTCCTCTGAGAAGGTGTGGTTTAAGCTGAGACATAAAGGATGAAAGGAACACCTTGTGAAGAGCTAGGGGTAAGCATTTCAGGCAAAAGAATGCCAAGTACTAAGGTTCTGAGATGGGAGAAAGCTTATCGTGTTCTAGGAACTGAGAAGGCCAGTGTGGCTAGAGCATAGCTAGCAGTGGGAGAGTGGCTTGAGGTGAGGTTGGAGATAGATCATCAAGCTCTGGAGTTTGGATTATATATTTTCGTACAAATGGAAACTTTTGAAAGGTTCTAGCAGGGAAGTGATGTGATCTGATTTCCATTTTTTAAAGCTCATTTTGGCTGCCTCATGGAGATTGGATTATAGAGCACTGATGGAGAGTAGGTAGTAAGAATGGAAGCTGGAAGAGTCAGTTGGAGCAGTTGTGGAGAGATGATGGAGATTCTGTCTAGGGTAGTAGTTCTCAACCTTGGCTGCAAATTAGATAACCACTTTGGGAGTTTTTAAAAATCCTGCTGTCTAGTCTTCACCCCAGACCAATTAAATCAGAATATGTTGGGGTAGGCCCAGGAATAAGGATTTTTAAAAGTTTCACAGGCAATTCCAATGTGCAGGCAAGGTTGAAACCATTGATCTAGAGATACTGCAGTAAAGCTATATGGAAATGGATTGATTTGAAATCTCTTTTGCAGGTTCAACAGACAGGATTTGCTGATGAATTGGATTTCAGTGGGAAGTGGTGACAAAAGGGACTCTCAGTTTTTTGGCTTTCATAACTGAATTGATGGTGATGTCACTGAGATGAGAAAGACTGGGCCTTGAGAAAGAAAACCAGGGGTTCTGTTTTGAATATGTTCAGTTTGGGATGTCAGTAAGTCATTCAAATGGAGAAATGAAGTTAGGAGCTATGATTGAGCCTGGAACTCAGAGAAGTCTCTGTTAGAGATAAAAATCTGAGTTGATGGCATAAAGATGGTAATTAAAGTTAAGAACTGATTGTGTCCACGTGGGGACAGTGTAAATAAAGACAAAGAGCCTAAGACTGAGGCTTGAGCAACTCCAGGGGAGGATTATGATTAGGGAGAAAAAACCTACAAAAGAGATTGTAACGTGGCCAGTGAGGTAGGATGTTGTGGTGTTCCAGAAGCCAAAGGGGAAGTAGTGTATCTAGAAGAAGAGGGCCACGGTTTGGTGAG